ATTAATGTCGAAAACATGTAAACTAATAAAAACCACTTAGCTACAATATATATATATATATAGTGTTTAATTGCTCCAATAGACATTATTTAATTATCTTTCTTATAATTATTTTTGGAAAGAAACTTATGTTTCCTATTAAAATGAAATGACAAAATTATAAGTTTAACAAAAATTTAACAATTGTGTTACTCTTTTAGTTGATTGAATTAGAATTAGGGAAGTAAAAAAAAAAAATTCCTCTTCTTCTCACAAAGTAAGATTAGAGATTTTCTTCAAAGCAAATAAAAAATTACAGGTTTTTTATTCCAATAAGTAAAACTAGAAATTTTATAGTGTGTTATTTCATATTATCCAATGAGAAGAAAATAAATTTTATTCGTAAAAAATTAGCCGGTTTCTTGATTCTCATATAATTAATAATAGTAGTTTTCAATTGCATCAATTACATCAATTTGGATCAATTTAGTTTTCAATGGCAAAATTAAAAGTGAGAGAGAAGCTTCATTGCAAATATAATCAAAGTGATTTTTAATCTTAAGCATAACGGCTTAATAAATCAAATCCTTTACACTTTAACCAGATTAGTTTAGTAAAGTATTAGTTAAAAATCAATATAATCTAAACCAAATTTGTTACTGGTAAAACTCCAAGCAAATTAATTGGTTTGAAAGTGTAGCTTTTTTATTGTAGTTTCAACAATCAATAGCCTATTGCATCTTCCAATTGCAGGTCTTAGCTTCTTCTGATTGCCCATCCCTCCATCTCTTCTTCCAACAATCATGAACTATCAGGAATCAATAGCCTATTGGGGAGTAATGAAATATTTAATTTTTATTTTTAGGAAAGTAAATTGTTAAATTTTTGTTAAATGCTTACTTTTGTCATTTCATTTTAATAGTATCCAATGGTAATAAAAAAATTAAGTATATTTCCAAAAATAATAATAAGAAAGCTAATTAAATAATGTCCATTAGATTAGATTATACTATTAGGATTAAAAGTGAGTAAACTACTCCCTACTCATTAGGGAGCAATTGAACACTACTTTATATATATATATATATATATATATATATATATATTACTAAGTCGAGTCTGCTTAAGCAGCACAATTCTTGAATATAAATGCAACATAACCAACCAAGAAATAAAATGTTGCAAGTATAGTAAGGTCTGCAAGCCATTGTGTCTTGGCAAGCAAGGCAGATTGGCCAATAAAGTACTTCTCTGAGAGTAAATGTATTATATGTAATTACTAAGAGTAAAGTTCAAATATAACGATCTACTTTTTCTCACTTCTCTCTCTAGTACCCTTTTTGTTGCCTTTAACTTCGTCTTTCCCATCTGTTTTTATCCCTGCTCTCTTTCATGGGAGTGGGGAGGTGTCGTTTCTTGCCTCCCACAGGCTAAATAAACTCGGCGTGTAATAATAAGTTCGTTCTGTGGGTGGTTTTGATGCGGTTTTTTCTTTTGTTTTGCTATATCTGTTCCTGTTTGGCTTATTTCCTGCTCGGGTGGATTTGTTATTTTTTCTCAGGCTAGATCTCTAATTTATGTCAGTTTTTATTATCCCCGACTTGATTTTATCTTGTGTGGGGTTTGGGTGGTTTTTTCTCCTGTCGAAGGCGCTTTGTGGATGTAGCTTTGGAGCTGTTGCCTTGATGATGGTCTGACTTTTGGGTCACTCCCGTTGCTGCTCTTCTCTCTTGGTGGTCTCCGTTGTTAAGCGGTGGCTCTTTCTCAACAAATTTGGAACTTATTCTTCATTTATCTTATTTTGTTTCATGATTTGTTTGTCTTTTTCTAGCTTAGCTTTGTTGCCTCAGTATGATTATTTATGGATGTGTTTTTTAGATGTCATATGGCTGTTTCTTATTATTAGGTTAAAAAAAAAAAAAAAAAAAAAAGGTTCAAATATATATATATATATTACCCTGAAGATTCCCCGGTCGGCGCAGGCAGAGTCGAGGGCCTGAATAGTGATCATTCTAGACTCAGCCGTTCTGTAGAGACCAATTCAATCAATGACAGGGATTGAAGCATGGCTAACTGACAATGGATTTTTGGTCAATGGTAAAACATATTGTGAAGGCAGCTAGGTCAAGCTAGGCACCATATCAGTAAGGTAGACGCCTTTCTGGCAATCGACATTACTTGGCATCTCGTGCCAAGACATTGAGGTAGTAAGAGCAATGAGATTTAATGTTGTAAGAACATTTGAGTTTATAATTAATATAGGCATTGTTGTGCCAAAAGTTGTTTATTAAGCTAATCCATGTGTGTGGGACAAGAAATGGCACAAGTTTGTGTTGATTGTGTTTTCTCAATTTGTGTAGCCAAGTAGCTCTAGCGTGCGTATGAAAAATTCCCATGCCTTGTTTGAGTAAGACATGTTTATTTCGTAAGATTCTCCAAATAAACACTTCACGGTTTGAAAAGCATTCAAGTCATAAGAAGTAAAATCAAAAAAACTTTCGAAAAAAAAAAAAAAGGGGTAAAATCAGCAAGGCCAAATGCGAGCTACTACTCTACATGTTTTACTGTACAGCCACAATTTTGCTAAATCAAAAGCTATGGTAGCAATGAAAATTAGTAGTACTATTAGCCCCTCTAATTTTAATCCATCCAAACAATATCTAAATCACAATTTTAAAACAAAAGCCCAACTAAATAGGCCCAAGCCAAACAAGACTTAAATAATCACTAAACTAAAGTACAGAGAACTCCTAAATTCTTACACAAATCAAAGAGCTCACTCCTTCTCTCCCTCTAAAGTCTAACCCTATATGTTCTAAAAATTTTCAACTCTTTAATCTTTCGATCCCTAATTCTCCATTGTTTAATATTAGCCTCTTTGTTTGCAATTCCTGAATTCGCCCTTGAATATGGCAAACAAAAACAAAATGCTTGAGATATATGACTTCAAGCTTACGTGTTTGCAGAACCTGGAAATGATGGGTTACACGTATAAAGATGCTTGCTATATAACAAGTTAAAAAATAGCAAACTTAAAGAAGAAAAACTTTTCAAAATTGAATTAAATTAAATAAATGGGCTTTGAGGCGAAATAATTTACTTTCATTATTTATTTGTATTAGATTAAAAAGTTGAGAAGTGCAAGAGAAATGAGGATAAAGGAAATAAAAATTTCAAACCACAACAAATTTCAATAATCAAAGCTAAATATTTTGGTTACACAATAATCTTTATACATGCAACGTTATAACCATAAAATCTTAAAATAATAAAGTAATAAAATATCCATCCATTAAAATATTCTAAAATAATAAATAACAAACATAAATTAACCCTAATTAATTACATCAAATCTTTAATTTCGTAGGTGCAAGTCATATGAAATTCAAATTCTCGAGTCATGTCTTGGTCTCCATCAATTTTAAATAAATTAGAATCTAATTAGATTAATTCTAATATTAGCATATATATACACACACACACACACACACACAACTTGCTTTGTCTTCATATTCAAGGTCTTACAAGAAGAACAACACTAAAAGAATATATATATATATATATATATATATATATATATATATATATATATATATATATATATATATATTTTAGAAGTGAGTTATTTATGCTAGGGAAACGGAAGTTTTTGGAACTTCATGAGGGATTTTCAAATAAAATTTTTGATTCATGTGTAGACATAAGTTTTATGCATGAAGAACATGATGATCCATTCTATTTAAGGATAGAAAACTTACATTAAGATTTGAGTAAACCTTAAATCTCTCTTTTAAAGTGAATGTTCTTACTTATTGTAGATCCCTTTGCTAGATGTCTTCTCTTTGGATTTCCATCTTCTTGGTAATAGTCCTGTCATTATGAATCACTCATAAGTCTCTATGAATGACATTAGAAAGCTTAACTTGTGGGAGCCTCCATTAGATGATAACACGAACACTAAAATTCTAGAGAGAGAAATATTTTCTTGTCTTCTAAAAATTATTAAACATAGGCGTAACCTAAAATATACACGAACTCCATGTATATATAGATAACATAAAAAAAATAATTAAAGACATTATATTTTTTCTCAATCTCTAAAAGTAACGTGATATCTCAAATCTTATAGAATTTCAATATCAAGTTGGGCTATGAGTGAGAATCCTTTGGCTTAATATTTTCTTGACTACAATGAATTAATAATTGGCCAGATCTGTGAACCCAATTCAATTAATTCATCAATTAATTTCTACTCCACTAAAAGAAATTAATTGAATTCCAATTAAATAATAAATAACCTTTAAGTCAAAGTTGCACTTTGACTCCACTATGCATAATTAGTTATTAGATAAATAAAGTCATCAATCTGACTACTAAATTAATATATTTATTTTGGTATATTTGATTATTTCCAGCTTAATAACAATAAAATATTTATTTGACAAAAATAATAATTTAAATAAATAAATATATAGAAAATCATTTTGTCTAAAAACATACAAAGGCCTACGAATTTACTTTGAGATCAAGCACAATCAATACAAAATAAATACTAGTAGCAATGATACAAATATTGAAAATATAACCCTTTAACTATTAATTACATAATTAACCAAAGTGCCGGTTTATGGATTCCGAATATTCCGCCAAACAGATCAAAGTAATTACTAATTAATAAAAGAGTCTATACTTCTCTCATACTTAAGAGTCAAATGCCATGACAGTGATAGGGAGCAATTGCATACAACGGCTCTCGTAATATATCTCAACCTAATGCGAATCCAGTTCAAATCTTAGTTAATAATGAGTCCATCCATAATTACCGATTATGAACTATTTATGATTACTATTTATATTCATGTATTGATCGTCATCACATACAGATATAAATATCTCTTGTAATTAAGTGGACACTATCAATTCTATAATGAATCGAAACATAATACATTGAATTCACCAATTATATAAAGCATAAATATTTCAGATATGTTATGAACATGTCTCTTTAATCCAAATAGGAATTTGTTATGATAGGGCATATAAATTCTAACAATTTATTCACCAAGGAAGCAAGGTACAGGAATAAGAGGGGCATACCCCCATATTAAAAGTTCACTTCCAAAAACTGTGACTGACAGTTTTCGAAGCTAACATTTAAAATGAGACGGATGTAGTATGTAATAGAGATGACAGATTTATTTATGCCCATGCATGGGATATACCTTTCAAATTTATTAAAACATTTATTGAAACATGTAGGAGGTCTCATATAGTTTTGGCAACGAAATAGAAGAACTTCATTTGTGGACTTGTAGGTCAACCAGGAATTGCAATGGGCATTTTCCTCTTGTGGCGCTGTTTTGGTGGAGTTCCATGTAGTCTTTGTATGTGAGATGTCCGTATTTGATCTCACTCTTTCCGTCCAACAGTGGGCTTGCAGGTGCAACTATGGTCGTCAGTCCAGGTCCATTGCCCACAGCTATTGATATCCTTGTTTTTTCTTCATTTGTCACTCCCCGATGCTTCAATGTTTTGTACCTTCCATTGCTCAGAATCTAATATCACAGAAACATTCGTTATGATCGATCCAAGGGGTTAGAGCAACAGTGACCCCATGTTTGAAATATTGGTTAAGTAATAAATAAACAAATAATTTTGACACATCAAACCTAAAACTAGTCAACACCTGGACCAAATCTTACGTTAGAATTGTTGACAATGCCTAGCCTCCATGTAAAAAAAAATAATAAAAAAAAAATAAAAAATAAAAAAATTAAATAATCTCTAAGCAATTAGAAATAGATAAGAGACTAACCTCCATGTAGTCTCCTATGTTGACAACAAAAGTCCCTGGTACGTGTGGAACAGTAACCCACTCTCCCTCGTGTTCAACTTGTAAGCCCTCGACATCATTTTGCATCAAAATTGTTATTCCACCATGATCAGAATGTTCTGGTATCCCAAGTGTTCGGTGTGGCTCTGGACATGGCGGGTAATAATTAGAACCAATGACCTGAAAACCTTCTCCAAGTGTCTTCTCTATGTAATCACTGTCAAGTCCTAAGCCTTCTGATAGTGCAGTTGCTATCTTCAGTTGCATCTGCCAAACCTCCTCTAGATATTCCTTTGTTATGCACCTTTAATTGACGCAACTTGGATTAATTTTGCAAAATGAATTTGAATGTAATTAATTGAGAAAAATGGTCCATTTAATTAAAGATGAGATATATTTATATATATACCTGTAGTTAGAGGGATTGTTAGGCCAGAGATCAGAGCTACTATGAAGAGGACGGCCATGCCCATGATGCCTCAAGTAGTCTCTCCACAGAGCATGCTTCGAGGATGTATACAGGCTTGTTCCATACATAGGATATTTCATCTTCTCTTCAGAAGAGAGATTGAAAAATCCTACTACGGCCTCCAGCATTTCCTCCATTAGAGAGATCTTTATCCCATGATTCACAGCCTGTTCATTTTTATTTTGGTTATGTCAAAAACATGTAATCTCCTACGTTGAAAAACCAACTATTCATCGTAAATGTATTGTATGTGATCAGAACAACTTTTGAAACAGTAAAGTTTGAGTGGAAAAATAAAAAAATGAAAATTTACTCTGAAGATTCCCCACTCGGCACAGGCAGTGTCGATGGCCTTAATAGTGGTGATTCTAGATTCGGCGGATCCATTAAGGCCGCTTAGATCGATGACAGGGATCGAAGCATGGCTGACTAATAATGGATTTTTGGGTAGTGGCAAAACATATTGTGAAGGCAGTTTGGACAAGTTAGGCTCCATATCAATAAGGTACTTAACCCCTTTTTTGTAGTAATCGGCGTTACTTGGCAACTCATGAACAGGAGTTGTCTGGTCTGTGGCAATTACTTGAGAAGACATTGTGGTAGTAAGAGTACTAAGTAGGATTGTGATTGAAATTGGAATGCATGGTGGTATGAAAATTTGAGTTCAATTTATAGGCATTTTTGGCGCCAAAAGTCGTTTGCTTAGGTAAGGATTAGTGGAATTAGCTCTGGCGTAAATGTGACACTATTGACACTAGGAGGTACGTAGAATAGACGTGAATGGTCCATAGTGAAAGACTATCTGAAAGATGATCTCCATTACTGTGAATGGGTCAACAAATTATAAATGCAATTTTAATGTGTTGAGTGGGACTTTGTGAATGCAATTGAGTCGACTTTGTGGACTTCGAATTGCACATGGCAGTGAACTGTTGCGTTTTGAATTGTATGAAAAAGGCGACAACATGGATATTTGAAAGAAAGTGAATGACAACTTCTCTCTAGACTCTAAAACTAATCTTATATTTATTCGGTTTGTTCTTTCGTTTTTTAACCTCTGTAATTCTTTATTTCTATCAAATTTATAACACTTCGAACACGCAACCAACTGAATGCATACTTCACATTTTTTTTCTCTAAAGGTGACGAATTCTTTAGATTACATATTTTTCGCAAGCTGAAATTTTGCGAAGGCTGAGATTTTTACTTCGATATTTTTTGTAAACCAGAAATTTCGCTTACACTTTATACTATTCCAGAGCCTAAAGTGTCTCGAAGACTCAATACTCGATCTTTATGTCAGTCTAAAGTTTAGCAAAATTGACATGATTGTTTTTCACACAAAGTGCTCTGTGAGTCTGAAGTTTTGAGTAGGTAACTTATTTCAAAGATGGGATAACGCCACTATTACCAGTAACGTTCTCACACACATATATATATGGGTGTTATAATTATTATATGATATGATATGTTTTGTTTCATTTAGTCTTTCAATTGATCAATTTTATGCTTTCAAATAGTCATAATTATTGTTATTAATTTTTTTTTTGGATAGTAATCAAATTTGCTTCGCAAATAATTTCTTAATCATAGTCTGAAATTTTTTCTTTTCTTTTTTAGAACATGTGCAGTCTACTTTTCTTCAGGCTCCGCCACCAAGGTGGGCCTGTATTAAATTATTTTATATCGTTGGACTTACTAAGTAGTGGACTTGACTTTAGTTGCATTGCGAGTGTCAATATCTTGAATTATAATTATCGTTATGAGGTGCTTATCACATCATTCTGAGCATCTAATCTCGATCAATCAGAATTTGCCACACAAATAAATGGGTAAGCTTTTATTCAACTGTGTAATAATTTTTCGCATTTGCGGTCATTCATCTCAGTAAAGAAGAACAATGGTGAATTTTTTTTTTAGGAGGATCGAGCTTGGAAGTGATTTAGGAAAACCAAATCGGCCTATAGCACTTTTATCGCTTTATAGTAATTATTATATAGTCATGGAATCATTGGACTCAGTTAAAATAAACATAAAACTTATGTTTGTTTATTTGTTTATTGGTGATTGACCCTAGACTATGTATTATTTTCTCTAATTATGTGATAAATTATTAAGTGGTCCAGAATGACCATGTCATTGATGCTCCAAACAATCCTCAATTGCCATAACAGCATTTTTAAATGACTTCGTACATAACCTTTCAGTCTACATAAAATGCCACAAACTGACCAAACGTGCAATGGTCCAACAAAATGATACAAGTATACCCAAAAGCCAAACTAATCTTTTTGAGTGGGGTCCAACACCTCTATAAATTTAATTATATAATAAATTATTAGGTGACGCAGAATCATGTATTGATGTCCCAAACAATCCTCATGTATTGATGTCCCAAACAATCCTCAATAAGGATGACAAATTCTCCATCCCCGTCGGGGCCTCTCCCCACCCAGTTTATAGCGGGAATGGAATCCTTTTAGCTAAACTAATCTTTTTGATGGGGGCAAATTATGAATCCCCGCCAGGTCGGGGCCGGATGGGAATGGAGTAAACCCTCTCCTCCCCATCTCTCCCTGATTGAGTGTGAAGTTACTAATATACCCTTATATATAATAATTTATTATTAAATTAGATTTATTATATATATATAAATAAAAAAAAATGTATTTTTTTTTTAATAAAAAAAATTATGAGGCCGGGGCGGGGGCGGGGGCGGGGATGGGGATAAGGTGTCGGGGGGTCGGGTATGGAGATTTTGCCAAAATTTTAAATGAGAATAAAGATAAAAGTAAAAAATAAAAAATACATCGAGAATGAAAATATGAATGAAGAATGGAATTCCCGCCCTACCCTGTTGCCATCCTCAATTGCCATAACAGCATTTTTAAATATGACTTCGTACGTAACCTTTCAGTCTACATAAAATGCCACAAACTGACCAAACCTGTAATGGTCCAGGAAAATGATGTAAGTATACCCAAAAGTCAAACCAATCTTTTTGAGTGGGATCCAACTCCTCTACAAATTTAATTGTCAGTATTCCAAATGACCAAAATATATACCGCGTAATAGAGACAAGTGCAGAAATAATCAACTCCCCCATCCATGTGCCAACTAAAATTAAGCAAAAATCATCAACTCATATTTGAACAAGCAAGAATCAAAATAAACAAAACATCAATCAAATCATCTCAATAAACATTTTATTCAAAGAATAAATGAACCAATACTATATAATAAAGAAAATAATACATATATAGTATAAATTTATGTAAAATATAAATTTAAATAAACTATAATAATTAAAGTATATTCCACATAACACTTTTATCCTTATTTAAAAAAGTGTGCAAAAAATATTTTTAATCTTTCTACATTATGCAAAAATACCTTCAATAAAAAATCTGACATAAATAGTACTGTAATACCCTTTTACCTTTTTACTCTTCTAAAAATGCCCAAAAAGATATATATGTCACTAATCTCATAGTATAGGGGTGTTATGTTCACATTATTCTTTTTTCTTTTTCTTCTTCTTCTTTTTTTTTTTTTTTCTTTTTTTGAAACTTTTTTCTTTATATGTCTTTAAATTTTTTTTTTTAATTTTTTTTTGAGAATTTGTAGATTAATGATTTGAATTTTTTGATATTTCAGTTTACTATTTTCTACTAGTTTTTTTTTTTTTTTTTTTTTTTTTTTTTTTTTTTTTTTTTTTACCAACATTGTTAAAAAAAAAAAAAAAAAAATCCTAATATCGGTGTGCATTGGTTTCAGAGTTTACAGATTTGTTTTCTTTAGTTTGTACTTTATTTTCATTTTTTATTTTCCATTTCTATCTATACTTTTCTTTTATACTTTTATTTTTATTTTCCATTTTTATATTTACTTGTCCATTATCGGCTTCCTCCAATAATGTCCTTTTCGGTCATTTTATAAATTTATTTATTTTTATATATTTTATAAAATAATTTAGTAAGGATAATTTAGTCAACTTGAGGTTTAAATTTGTCAGAGGGTCTTATTTGCACCAAATTAAAATTTTAGGGATATTTTTTTACACATAAGGGGTGTCCTCCAATAGTGTCATTTTCGGTCATTATATAAAATTATTTATTTTTATATATTTTATAAAATGTTTCAGTAAGGGTAATTTAGTCAACTTAAGGTTTAAACTTGTCAGAGGGACCTATTTGTATCAAATTGAAACTTTAAAAGTGATTTTTGCACGTAAAGAATTGGATTTGTTTTGTAAACATACTTTTTGCACGTACCCTATAATAATAATTTAGAAGAAATAGTCTAAAAGTTATACATACATAATTAGAAAACAAAATGCAACAAACTCTTTTAGGGTGCAAAGATCATTTCTCATTTAAAGTTTGAATAGAAAAAATTGAATTGCAAATCATTAACTCTATTTAGTAGATGATTCTTCTCTGTTCATTCTGGATGCTAATTTACTTATCCACGACTGTTTCAGTATCCTTTTATGCATTTAGTTTTCATGTCAGAAGGTCATAATTTTCTCTGTTTTTAATGATATAGTATCAGTCTGAAAATACTATTTCGTTTAGCAATGTTATATTGGTTTTATTTATTTAAATAAATAAAAAAACCTATTTTAATTTCACCGAGGGTTAATTTTCTCTTCTCTCTTTGTTGTTGTTGGTTTTTTGGCTGAAGCATATTTTCGATTTTATAACTGCACAACTATTGATATTTCTGAATCAAGTGGACTCCTTTAAATTGACCTAGTTTTTTTTAAACGATTTCGATGAATCCGTTTTAACCCGAAAAGTCCCTAATTTGATCGGAAACGGCTCAACTCGCAAAAATCAGCGCTTTTCGACTGACTTAAATCGTTTAGGGTTTGGGAATTGTGTTTTCCCAAATTTGAATATTTCTGAATTTTTGTTAGAAGACTAAACATATTCGAATTACTTTAATCTTTTGTATTTAGTAGTTTTTAATAATTTAGTTAATTTATTTCCTTATTTTCATATAATTTTGGGAACAAGTTTGTTTTTGAGCCGTTTCCTTGTGCTGCAAGTTTCTATATATTTTTAGATTTTTTTTTAGACTATTAGGGATTCTTATTTATACGTACATGTACTACTATGCAGATCATTCATCTATTTATCAGTAAAATATCAGATTCTTTTGTGAATTCTCTTTTTTTCTTGTGGATTCAAGGTACATTACCTTGTAAATTCAAGAAAACCTTCGTTCCTTATGAACATTTGATTGATTTCTTTTCCATTTTTTATGGTTCTTTCTCCATGGACTCCCCTGAACACCTATTTAACAAGTAACTGCATAGCTTACAAGATTATTATGTAGTAGTAACTTTTTTTAATTTGAAATTAGACATCAATGTAATGAGTCTTCAGATCACTTGTATTATTACTGCTATTTGCATTAGAAAGTGGGGTGGAAAGGCGCTCTTACTGGGTCCTCGAGGATTAGTCTGAGCGAAGCCTCGAATACCCTAAGTTATCCAAAAAAAAAAAAAAAAAGAGCCTACTTTCATCCCTTGTTGCAATTGTCTTTATTCATTTTTTTATTATTCTACTGAATTTTCATCCCTAGTTGCAATTGTCTTGATGGTGGCAGTTCGTTGGTTTCAAACTGAACAAAATCCAGTCA